TGATCATGCCCTACCAGGTCTCCCACACCCACCTCCCCACCAATTTGGATCGCTTGTTGTTCCCTTGTCCCTGGGTTTGTTAACACCTCTCCCCTTCCCGCCACCTCCCCCTCTCCCATGTCCCCCCAGAACTGTCAATCACGTTGTTTTCTCCATATTGTTCATCCAGCCTGTCCTATCCAGACAGACCAAAAAAGAAAAGCTTGTAGTTAGTTCAAGGGTCGCTGGCCTTTAAGAGTGTTTTCCAGTCCAGCCTGTTAAGTTTTAGACATAGATGGCCAGGCCTTTCTTAAAGTGTGTCTTAGCCTGGAAGCCCTGTAGAAAACCTGTCTACCATGGGTGACTCTGCTGGTGTTTGAAATACCAGCTGCATATAACAAAAATGCAAGTCATCACAGAAACAGGCCCTTGACAGATCTTTATTTCTTTCTGTAGGAATTTTGTTTAATTAGCCTATTTTCAATTGTGATGTTTGGGATTTATTTCCAAGCAAGTGTTTGTAGGGAACCTAATTCCAAGGCTATATGAATGCCAACTGTATTTGGCATCAATCATTCAATGTCTTAGATTTACTCACTTTTTAGTGGATTCCATTCATAATTCATAGCTATGCAGGCTAGCAAACACCAGCCTGCATGTCATACATTGCTGCCTTTTATGAGCCAGATGGCAAAAGATTGTGAGTACTTTGGCGTTATTTTCCTTATTACTTGATGACCACAGTATCCCTCAGATTTATATTCTTATTATAACAAACCCCAAATTATTGGGATGGGACTATTAAACATTGATATCATTTGGAGTTAAATGTATAGCTTCCAAATGAAATTTATTTGGAATTCAATGTAATTTCTGAGCTAAAAGCAACCTCTTTTCTTCTTCCCTCTGCCTTCCATGATTCTGATTCCTCTAGTTCTTTAAAAGATAATTCTGGAATCCTGTTTAACTCCTTGTTCATTGTAATGACTCTTGGATAGACAGTCTACACTCAATGGGGGTGGGTATGTTCTTTTGAGTCTCTAGTTTCCTTATTCTTGCTGTGGTAAATCCCCAAATGCTGATGAAGCCTTATAAGACTTGGTGAGACTCAGTGGAGCAGACATCAGACAGGGTCAAGACCTGCAGACTGCCATCAACTGGGCCATGAGACTCTGACAGAGGAATAGGGGCTGGTCGTTTGTAAGTCAATCCCTTGATGAAGGTGTATGTAGCTCATACTTAAAAATATTTTTTTAAAGGTCATTCAACCTTTAGAAATTCTCTTTTGCCAGGGAAATTTTGCATTGTCCCTGCCCTTTCCAGACAATACCAGCACCCCTCTTCTCTCCTTCTTTCCATTTCTCAGAGTGGCAGACTGCAAACTCAGTGCACGATATGCTTCACATCTCCCCCTAACGTAGACTCCAACAACAAACAGAGAGAAGACAGTGGAGGAACGCTGTGTAAAATGTGTGTTCTACCCACACACTCTACTAGAACATCAATGTACTATTCTGGAACGATCGTGTTGCTGTGCTTTGAATTCTAAAGGTCTAGAAACATGGCTGTGTCTTCAGAAGATGCATCATTAGACTATTAAATTACACTTATGGGAAGCCCGAAAAGAGTTATATTCTGCCCAAAGAGCAGCTAGGTATGAACAATGAATAGCAACCGATTTGGAACTGTTCTCACAATTCTGTTAGCAAAGCATGTCTTCTAGGCCTTAGGCTTTCATGCAGTCACCGTAATTCTTCAGTTCTAAGGACACTTTGTGAAATACATTTATTTTGTGTTCTGATATAAGGGGGTGGGCGGGGGGTGGGGGGTGGGACCTGCCAATTAAACTGTGGCAAAGTACTTCACCCAGAGTCCAGCCAGGTCATATCACACTCTATTGCTTTGACATTTCTTTCATCTGTGCTGGTGGGGCTTGGTTTCCTGCCTTCAGTGGCATTCCTTAACATGTCCTAGGCAACCTTTCTTGTACATCCTGGTCACCAGACAAAAGACTGCTTATCGGAGTCACAGAGCCCTTCTTCCCTGATGTCTCGTGAAGCATTTCATCATTCCTTTCTCAGAAGCTACGAACTTTTTTGTTCCTTTAATGTCAAACATATGCACCTCTGCTCTGTACTCAAGGTTGAACTTTCACCTACAGATACTTAGTGAACGTCCTAAAGGTGATTAAGTTTCACATACGTTGTACCAACAGTGCACACACCTCAAATGCAGCACTGAAGTGAGGACAGTAAGAGAGCGCTGCCTAAACTGAGGCATTGACGTGTGATCAGCAATGGCAACTGCCTCACAGTCTCCACCTGGCAACCACGATTACACAGTGGCATTATTGACTCTTATTGATGTCTAAGGCATGTTAGTTTCAGAAGTGGTAAGGTGTGAATTAAATGCTTATTTTTTGAAGTTATGCTATATGGCAATGTTCCACAAACTAAGCTTTATAAAGTGACAAGTGCCTTGATAAAAAAAGAATAACAATCTCCTTTGCAAGCAGAACAGCCAAGCCAGCATAGGTTTGTAGAACTGAGAAAGCACATTGAGGGGTCACTGAAGAACTGTTGTAGAGGTTCAGAATTCAGGCTCTGGATCCAGATTACTGGATTTCAATCATCTTACTAGGATTGTGGCCTTGGGCAAGTCAGTGTACTTCCTTTTCCGTATCTGTAAGATACACTCCTTTTTTTCTATCTGAATGAGTTAATGTAAGCTCGTATATGTACTTAGAAACGTGCTTGACACATTTCACCTGGTTGATAAATGTGAGACGCAGCAACTTCAAACATCTTTTAATATTTGGAACGTGGAATGTATGAAGGATGACAGTAGGGAAATTGGAAGTCATAAAATGATGGGAAGACCCTCAAGGAGATGAAGTGACACAGAGGCTGCCACAACGGGCATAAGCACAGCAAGGACTGTAGGGATGGCCCAGGAGCAGCCTGTTGGACTCAACACCACCTGAAGTGAGAACTGACCGAAAGACACCACCATGGTTGTTATTCAGACCAGCTAAAATCTGACCCGAGCACTCTTGTGCATATAGCAGACAATGGAACTAAAAGGCATTAAATAAAAAAAGAGATTATCAGAAAGGAAGCTTGTCCATGAATTTCCCTGTGTGAATGGGAAGCTCCAAGCCATTAGATATGTGGCATTTGAGTGGTTGATACGAAAATTGAGCTATATTGCAGCTGCTATTCAAAATGGTTTCCACCCGGATGTGAGGGCGATCTGGCTGCGACATCTGTCACCCCATTGATTGCCAGGGTTGACTGGCTAGGCAAGTGTCCCTTACCTCCCTCACCGCTCCATGTGCGTCCCTCCCAAAGCTGTACTCTCAGTTGAAGAGGACCACCTTCCCGTATAGAAGGAGGATCATCCTTTGGTCAAGGGTATACGAGTAGCTGCGCTCCCCTGCTAGAACCTCCAAACAAGTCAAAATGGTGTCCACTCACTCTCAGCTTAAGTTCACTCTAGCAACAGGGCAAGATTCTAGATTCCTTTAAGACTACTGAAAACTCCTAACAACCACTATTGCTGAGACATCGTTCCTTATGTCTGCCTTATATTCTTTTCAGCTAATTCTGAATCTGTTTATTTCTTGTTGAGTCCTTACGAGACTGGAAAGCAATATGCAGTTCGGAAAGCCAGTGTGCCATTAGATGGCCTTTGTTGTTACATTTCATGGATTTGATTCCAACTCACGGCCATGCAGTGTGTGTCCAAATAGCACATTGTCCATCAGGTTTTCAGGCCCTGTCTTCTTTTTTTTATCATTTCATTGTGGGCTCATACAACTCTTATCCCAATCCATACATACATCCATTGTGTCAAGCATAGTTGTACATTTGTTGCCATCATCATTCTCAAAACATTTGCTTTCTGCTTGAGCCCTGGGTATCAGCTCCTCATTTTCCCCCTCCCTCCTCACTCCCCCTCCCTCACGAACCCTTGATAATTTATAAATTATTATTATTTTGGCATATCTTACACTGTCTGATGTCTCCCTTTATCCACTTTTCTGTTGTCCATCCCCAGACCACTCTGGGTCAGTTTGAACACCAACCTTTCAGTAGCAGTTGAGCACTTATCTTTTTGAGTCCCCCAGCACCCCCTCCCTCCCCCCCCTCCCGCCATGGTCTGCTGGGCTAGTTTGATTTCAAGTCCAGATATATAATCTTCACCAGCTGTGTTGATGCTTTTGCTATGGCTGTTTCATCATTCCGACCTGCAGAAGGTCAAAGGAGCTGTTTTGGAGAAGAGCACACATAAACATGCAGTTTCTCTTTGTCTTCTTTATTAGAACAGTTGAAGAGTTCATCAGCCTTGCCAGAATACAATAGCTTCATGTTTTGTGCAAGTAAGAATACTGACCGCATTCATCTGTACACAAAGGTAAGCATCAAGCAGAGTCTGCCCATTGAAACATATAAAAGGCTTCCTCTCTGTGTCAGCAGAGATCTGCAGTTGTTCTAACAATGAGCTAAGTATGAAAACTAACTCTCAAATTCCTGTGTAAAACCTAAAGGCGATAAGAAACCACTCAGCATGGTGGTGAAGGGAACAGACTTGCGGGTCAGGCTGTGCCGTTCACTTCTCTCTGGTACTCCCCACCTGTGTCAGCCAGGACACATCACGTGGTTGCTCTGCACTTCCCTCTCTTGCACTGTCATACGTGGCGAAGCGATGTCGCGAGGAAAAATGCAGCTAATCCATGTCATGTCCCACATAGAGCAAAGGCCCAGCCACAGTACGCTCTCAAACCCGTTCATGCCTGTGTGGCGTCAGGAGCAGCAACCGCTTTCCCAAAGCCTCCCCAGGGTGAGTGAGCTGCAGGAAGCGGTACTTACAGCTCCTGCTCAGATTCCTGCCACTGCCAACAGTTTCATCTCAGACCCCTTAGCACCCTGAAAGAGTCTAGAGGGTCCCCAGCATGCACTGTGTATTGACATTTACGTATGAAATGAAAATGGAGACATGTAGAGATTCAATTATTAATTCATTTTGAACTGACAATGGAGTGACGACAGTGAAGCCTTTGTGTATTTATGTAAATGACACATTTATGACCAAGAAATGACAGTTTTCAAACTGAAAAGTGGCATTGTTCATTTTAGTAATTGTCTTGTAAAGCCTTAATAGAAGACAGCTGGGTTCTCGTGCCTGCCTCTGCATTCATTTGCTGATGATGGCACTCGACACTGGCGAGAGAACGGCAGTGAAAAGGCAAATAGCTTCTCACTGCATTGCACACCTATTTTGACCTTGGAGCCTCTGAATGTGTCTTAGGGTTCCTATGAGAACCTATGGCCAAGGTAAAATATTGTGAGTATTGGAGGAACAATTTGCTGATAGTACAAATACTTTGGTTTGGTTTTAAACAGAAAGAAAACCAAACTTTTAGAGGCCCTAAAGTACAGACAAGACCCCCC